GGAAAAATTAATTTCCGACCTCGCTGGGATTCGAACCCACGACCTTCGGAATTGTACTACCGAGGGCTTCCGCCCGGAATAACCTCGTTCCCAAGCACTACAACTTACCTATATTATCTTCTACTATTTCATTAGTGCCACGCGGTCCACATACTCTCATCTTTGCATTATAATTACCGCGACCTAACATGTATTTCACCCCGGCCTGCTCTCAGTCTGACCTCTAGCTCAGCTGGTAGAGCATCGGTAGTACAATTCCGAAGGTCGTGGGTTCGAATCCCAGCGAGGTCGGAAATTAATTTTTCCGAATTTAATTCCAAGAGCTTCCGCCCGGAATAACCTCGTTCCCAAGCACTACAACTTACCTATATTATCTTCTACTATATCTTTCTATGTTATTTAAATATTGAATGAATATGAAATTACACCAAATATTCAACTGTTTATTAAGCTGTTCGAGCTAGTATGATTATACAAATGAGCTAATAAATTTGTGTTGTTGAGAGTTGTTATTATTAAAAAAATAAAAGTTAAAAAATATTCAAAAACATTTACAAATGCARATTTACTGACAAGGAAATTTATCATTTTGTATTTTGCATTATTTTCTATTTTGTCTCAGTTGTTATTTAACAAGTTTAACTGAATAGAAACTTTGTTTTTCGAAACTTTTCGATTGTTCGTGATTTCCGTATCTTTCTCGCGCATGAAAACAGATGAAAAATCTACAGCTTAAGTTTTCAAGCTTATCGAAAAGTAGTTAAGGAATAAGAATATTTTAATGAAGAATTAGGATCAGAAAACTATTTTAACTGATGACACATTTGGTGACAGTTATGATCTCCAGCCAATTTCCTCTTTGATGCTTCCAAATCATTTATTTTCTTAATTACATTGCGGTAAAACAGGTTCTTGTAAAAACCAAAACTCTTCTTATGCATAACCTAACATTGTCATGTAAAAGAAGTAAAAGTACTGAGCTTTTGTTTTGCTCACCTATACTTGAGCAGTTTTCTAGTCTGTCTTTATATGCCGTGTTCAATTTGTCCATAAAAAGTTAGGAAATCTCCGAAATTTTGATTTCARTGAATGACATCCAAGGTAAATTTCACTAAACCTGATATTGTGTTGGATTGTCTGCAGTTATCTTTCGTTTTTTAAAGTAAAATTAACCAGGAATTCAAAGCTTAAAAATGTCGGCCATGGCAAACTTTGTCGAAGAATCTTCCAAGAACAAAACTAGCCCCTACTGGGGCTGGTGAGTTRTGTACAAAATTCCTTAGTRGGAGAGTATACTCGCGCAAAGAAAACAACGTAGTCCACTTCGATTAGATATCACTGCATGGCTTTTATTATGGGAGACATTATCGTCATCTCGAATATAAAATTATTGACTATTTTTTCCCGATCTTATTTTTAACTTTCTGATTCATTCAAATTGGGCTACCTGTGACTTTCGTATCGGGAGCTCCGCTTTTAGGAAGTGCCTAAATATGTATATTATTCATTACGAGAAGCACTTTTACGAAGCAAACTCCCATTTATTTTGGCTCATCTCTTAGTCGGTATTCTGGTATCATTTTGCATTTTTGTTTTCTCTTCTTCCTCGGACAATATCTGCTTCTGTAGCTCATCTCTTTTGGTGCACAAGTCCTTGTTGAGACCTGTAAGAGTATTTTTAAATAAGAGTATTTTTAAAAAAGAGAAAATTCCTCTACCCTTCTTTACGAGCCTTTCAAAATGGSCACTCACATTGAAAAACTCTTTTCAGTATGCCAATGTGACATAACACCTTTTTGATTATGCTATCTACATGGGTAGTCCAGGTAAGATTTGCATCTATGTGGACAACGAAGCATTTAGTTTCATTGACCTTGATGAGTGTACTATCGCACTTTGTAATAATTGTCGCACTTTGTAATACCTGTCGCAATTTGTAATACCTTTGTCGCACTTAGCAATAACTGTCGCACTTTATAAAAACCCTGTCGCCTTTCGTAATAAAAAAAAGCTGTCGCCATTTGTAATAACTGCTGTCGCACTTTGTAGTAAGAAAARGCTGTCACACTTTGTAATAAACGGACCGAGAATATTACCTTGTGGAATTCCACAAGATATAGGTAATATCCGAGGAAAACCCGTTTAGACTGCATATGTGAACTAAACCAGTTGATAGTCCGGCCTATGGTACAGACCATAACTCTAACCTCCTTAATAATGTATCTTGATCAACGGTGTCAAATGCATTTTTCAGATCTAGGTAGTGACGCCATTGGCAATTTTCGATSAGCATTACCACTCTTTTCATTGCTACGCGCTGATCGAGACAACAGTCGCGACAGGAAAATTGGGCAATACGCTTCCGTCAATCAAATAAATTGGCCTTTATATTCTCTGATTGGCGGCAGTGTATTTTCCTATTTCCCTGTCGTTGTCTCGACCAGCGCGTAGCAGCGAAAAGAGTAGTAAAGCACCACTCATTGGTAAGGTCTAATAGGACAGTCACAGTAGAATGTAACTATCTAAAGCCAGAATGCCTGGAATTAATTAGATTGTAAGTGGTTAAGTAGGAATATAATTGTTCATATATTAGTCGCTCTAACACGCTTGCTACAATAGATATCATAGAAATTGGCCTGTAATGATTAGCACCGTTTTGTTTTCCTGACTTATATATAGGACATACTTTAGCGATTCTAAGTTCATTCGGGAAAGTACTTGTTTCGATTAATTAAGCATTGATTTTTGCTTATTCATGATGATGCAATTTTGTCCTGAAAAAAGTAGACGGAAATCTCCAAAATTTCAAGTTAAATGAAAGACATTCATTGTAATTTTCACTGAAACTGATATCGTGTTGACTTACCTTTAGTTATCTTTCATTTTTTAAGAAAAAACCAACCAAAAAAGCGAAAAAATATCGACCATAGAGAACTTTGTGAAAGTATTTTTTAAGAACCAAACTAGACCTGTGGGGTAGCTGGTGGTGGGTCGTGTACACGATACAAAAATCCTGTGCGGGAGAGCTAGAAGTAAGGTCGAAATTCGTTCTCGCCCGAGTCCTACGCAGGTAGTAACCTTGACATAACATGGCAGAACATTTTCCGCAAGCGAAAGACTTTCTGCACGAAAATTTCGGTCATAGAAATCTTCGAGGAAGAGCCAAAGAGTTTTTWAAAAAATGAATGCCCCCATCGTAGGGATCATTTTGATCAAGTTTCTTATGGAATTCGAGATATGAAAGACGATGAAATCGTGGTTGAAAGTGTGTTGTTTTTTTCAAAGATGGCCACTGTACTTCCCTCCCTTATAAGAGTATATTGCATATAAGATCGATATCAGATACCATAAAGGAATTATATAGGAAAACAAAGGCGCGCTCGAAAAAAAATTATCTTGAATTTTTTTTAATTGATTTTTTTACTCTTTCGTATTACGGAGGACATTATCTTGGCCTCAAATTTAAGAAAATTATTTTTTAAATTTTCCGATTTTATTTAAACCATTTAATTTAATATAAATTGGGTTCCCTGTGGTWATGTATTGCAGGAATTTTAGATGCAACCGAGTTTTGGGCCAACTTCAGTAAAATATGAATTAAAGTAATTGGTAATATCGTTTGGATTAGTTATTGGACTTACGTTGGATGGACGGATGGATGGATGGATGGATGGATGGATGGATGGATGGATGGTAGATAATTGAACTTCTTGACTCGGCGCCTGTTTAATACTAGATGGCTATGTGATGTGCCATTACTGAATGGTTAGTGTTAATCACTACACCATTACTTTTACATATTTTGTTTCTATATTGTAGGATGTACAGAGGTTAGCGATATCTATGTGAACACTGGAGCTGTGATGAAATGTACGACATTCGAAACCAATGTAAATGATCAAGTCGCTGTATTCATTAACGGTACGGTGACGAGTGGATTATCTGATAAAGAATGCCTGACTGTCAGGGTAGGTACAGGGGACCTACACGTAAATATAGACGGGGTTGTAGGCCAGGAGGTCGATGCCACAATACGTACAAAGAATGCGAATCTGACAAAAAGATTAATTGTCGAAATTGAGAACGGCGATATAACAAACTTTGGGTCATTATGTGCACGAGATTACCTCAAGTTAAAGTGCAACAATATAATGCTATGCTCAGATTCAAAACATGATACGGCTCAGAGGGGTTTTGACAGTTTCATCTCGCTACAGAAAGAGATGGGCCATCTAAATGATATTGCTGCACGTCCAAAGAAAGGCTCTTCCTTAAACGATTCCCGAATGCTTCGAGCTGTTCAAAGTCTGGACTGCGACAACTTCATATCGATTGTAAATGAAGAAGTAGACCCAGCGGTTAAAATCTTTGGTCAAAGCATTCAAGATGAATTTCATGCCGTCTGTGGCGGAAGAAAAGACAAAGATGCTTATGACAAAGACCAGCACAAGAAAGAAATCATACGTGGGGGTTTGGCCACATGTAAGTGGAGACATGGTCTCATTCGAGCAGCTGTTATCGATTGCATCGTACATCAARATATCTACGACTGCTCACAGATGCAAGGAAACAACTTACATTTTGATGTTGGTGGCTCAGTAAGTGTTATTAAGCCTTGGACATGGATCTCCGGAACAATCAGTGGCCTTGTCAGAGGGAATTTCCTGTTCTACGACAACGCAATGTTAAGAAGTTTTAAACAATTTCACGTTCTTGGGAACGTCCGAATCTGCAAAACATCAGTTGTTTGGGTCAAAGAAGGTGGGAAGTTATACTGTKGTGAAGTATTCGAGAACAAGAACGTAATTGTCAGTGAAGGCAATTTTGCTTTGGACCTTGGTGAACTGAAGCAAGACAAAGATGGGGGCATTATTAGCAAGAGAGATCTTTTGTTAGCCTTACGCAATGGACAAGACAATATTTGGTTTGGGTATGTTCAAGTAGAACAACATCTCTTTATCCAGCTGGAGAAGAAAGTTTCCTGTGACGCTGAATGCATTGCATCAGAATGTGATGTCGAGTTCTTTGGAGGCAATGCCCAACTGGTTATCAACCAAATACTAATCGTGGAAGAAGGGGACTTGAATCTAGAAGCCACAGATACATGCGAAGTTTCTAATTTTGTCTTGTTTGGCGAGTTGTATGCCAAAGGAATCAATGGAGTTACRGCGACTGTTTGCACAATGCCTGGTGCAATTGTCAATCTCACATGTGCATGCAACGGTGAACAAGAAGCCCATGTGATAAATGTCTTTACGAGAAGTTTAGAAATCAAATTCGATTCGGTCATGATCTGCAGTTGTCCTCGAGACAAGCAAATCCATTTCATCGATTTGCCCGTGTCAACCAATGTTTTGTCTAAAGAGTTGATGTCCGTCCATGGCATGTTGCAGGTTTGTTCAACATATTTACGTATCCAATCCAAGTCMTTGAATAACAGTGGTAAGATTGAACTGTCGCCTGGCATCAAGACCAAAAGCTCAATTCCCAGTTCCCTTTGTATCACTTGTGAAAAAACCATTTTGAACAGTGGAAAAATA